CTTGTACCATAATTGCAAGCGCGTATGTGCGCGAACCATACCGCTTACTTTTTGACCGGACAGTTGTACCTAACTCCCTTGTTCATGGGCTCATGTATAATAAGATACCACTAATTGCATTTTGTACAGTCCCTAGCATGTAATTTTTACTTGATAAATTTATTGATACCAAAGTGGAGTCTTCTTGATGTTAGCACATGGGTTGCTGACCTGAGGGTAGGATTTCTAAATACGGCGTGGGACTGATGTATTCGTACAATTTTAGGACCGTCCGCGCAGTCGGAGTCGGTGCGGCCCGGTGCGGCTGCCTCTCCATTACCTCAAGCACCATCCAATCCACGGGTCGATACTCCGGGACCAGAAGTTTCCAGCACTACCACCACGGTAACTAAAGTCGCTCCTCCCGAGCCTAGTGTATCCGCTGACGTCCGGCCAGATCGTGCCAACGATCAGGCTACTGTGAAAAACGATACAGTTCATCATGAAGATTCATCGGATACAGATTCGGATTCCGGTTCTCCTTGTCGTCTCCCGCAACCTGTATGGTCCACTGCAGCATATACCAAGAAAGATGGTAACAACTCCGACACCGCTGCATGTGCAGTGACTGTTTCGGTTGAACCTGAACCTCAAGCCAATAGTAACAGTAGTAGAGTTTCCTCCTCGGTAGCTCCAGTAACCACATCTAGCCAGGAAGAACATGTTTCCGCCGCTGCGCGTGTTACCAAAGCACCCGAGGAAGATAAAGAGTATGAGGAAAAGCAGGCTGCCGCCCTGCAGATAATGAGGGAAGCCAGGCGCCAGTCACAGTGGAGTTCGATCGCTGCGGAGCAACAGGCAAACAGGGAGAGGCAAGAAGATGAACGTCGGCGACGAGAAGTCGAACGTGCTCGTGAGGCGGAGCGGAGGCGAGAAGAGGAGATCAGACGGGCAGAGGAAGAAAAACAATCTCTGATCGAAGCGAGGCGTCGAGAAGACAAGTTGAAACGAAAGGCAAGTTTTTCTCCTGTTATTTCTCATAATCTGAAGTTCTCCCACATGAATTTTCGTACTACTCAATTGTTATTTCGCCATTTACGGTGAAGAGAGTAATCAATCTGTTGCCTTGTACCGTATGTATTTGATGTTGGAGGCGAATGGTTTTCCGTGGCAGTCAAAGCAAACTTAACCCGGTTTATGAAACATCCAGTTTCCAAGGAGATCTTATGAATTCCTTGCTCTTAATTGATCCTTGATTAATGCTAAAGTAGCCAGCAATTCACTTTGAATGTTTAAGAATGTATCCTTTGGTTTTCGTGGAATGTTGTTTCAACAACGAAGAAGTGCGTATACTGCCTAAAGCCGACTGCTTGACAGAGGAGCTTGATGTCAAGACAACAAGCCGATGTCAGGTATACAATTTGGTTACCACACGGATTTCAAAAAGCGGTAGGAAAGTTTTCACCATGTAACAAAGGAGATGACCATGATCGTTCGCTCACTGAGAGGCATGGTCGCTGTAATGAACAGAGCACTTGTAGCGAGATAAAAGGTGATGTCCAATTTACTAGAACCAAATTCGGCGTGAATGATGACATAACAGAAGAACAGCTTTATACCTTAGAACCATGTGATGTCATTATATGCGATGCCATAGTATTGATATGATCGTACGTCGAGGTCGACTAAGTAAGTCTTCCGAAGGAACTGGATTTGGTAAGCTATGAGAGTCTGACAGAGTATTAATAGCTCGATAATGTCAGATTGAATAATTGCTGCAGCTTGACGAGCAGAGATCGTTAACGATAGGGACTGGTATCCCTCCAGTTTTGGTTAGAGTTGCAGCTAGTCGAGTTATCAAATTTTCTTCATTTTTTCGTACTGAATAAGACTATGGAGATGTTTCGTGCGTCTGTATATTTGTCTTTTTTCGACGGGATCTGCTTACATAATCGGTGTTTCAGCATGCGGTTCATAACAGTGCCAGAGTTTGGTTCTATATTGAATGACTTGCCCAGTTGTGTCTACTTACACGTTCGTGAACTTCCACGTGCAATGACACGAAGGTGATGTGATGTGATTAATGAGGATTTATTGTTCCCGAATAACTAGCAACGATCCTTCACTTGCAGCACCAGGCTTGATATCCTACTTGCACGTGTGTCATGATCACGGAAACTCGAATCGTGAACCGTGCCGTGTTGATCGCGGCTTAAATCTACGTTATGCTAGTATATGAGAATCCACGCACACAGTTCAACTCTTGTCTTTTAAACAATTTGCAGCCTTTAGGCAAAGTCACGCAACTTAGTCGATTGTGCGAACCTCAAGAGTTGTGTACCGAGTAACTAAGTCCACGACATTGAGCGTAGTAAGTGATTTTTCGTTGTTGCCCAACTTACTCAAATCGCCTTGCTTTTTTTTAGGCTATGCGAGGTGCCCCCGAACGTATCAACGCCCATGAACTCCTCAGCGAATTCGAAAATTCTGTTGATATATCGTATATCGATGCATGTTTTGCAATGCGCCATTGCTAATACCGACTGCTTGTCATCACTTTGACTGTGGTCTCTGGCAACAGGCGCCCCCTGCTCAACCAAAGGGCTTTCATGCTGGGGAGTCGTGTCCGCGGGAGTGCTTCCTTCTATGTACGATGCCTTCATTTCCTCTACATTCATCTTGAACGCATTTCTGAATAACGTATTATAATTCCTCATTCGAATATAGTCATGAATTCTGGCTTTCAATTTGTTCACAAATATATACCAAGCGGTTGCTCCTAACGTCGATTATGTAGGTAATGAAAATCATTTGCGTTGCTCTGACCTATTACTCGGCGAGCTGTTTATCCGAACAGTTTGCACTGGGATACTCGGTTTGTAATCGGTAGCCCCTTTTGGAGTACTAAAAATTGCAATTTGCAGTTCGATTGGGAATATCGCCATCCAAGCTTTTAAATGCACAAGGTTCCTCCATCTTTTCAAGTGAAAAGCATCTGTCGGACAAATGCTTCGATTCCGACTATACAGAAAATTAACGGGTCCTTTCGGGGTCCTCAGTGAGATACTTCTAGTCTCAGTGTAAAAATTCAGAATGATTTTAGACGAATTTCGAATATGCACTGTTGCACTTCATCGGGCAACAGGATTCGCGGGGTCTAAAAATATTTCGATATATATATATATATATATATATATATATAGCTTGATCTTGTCACTTGAGTAGGATACCTAATGGTACTGATATTGTTGCAATAGACGGACGTCGAAGTTTTCATCAATACCCATACCACTGCTTTGATTCAGCACTGATACTAGTCACCCGCGCTTTGAATTCCCAAAATTATCTACTGGTTTTAATACCAGGATTTCATATTGTGCCAACTGAGAGAGAATCTTAGACGTTAGTCATGCTTTAAAAGTTTAGCAACAATAACGTGCGAGTTGTTCTGCGGTAACGGAACGCGCACAAAGAAATTCGATAATTTTAGGTCGAATCGGTCTGAGGGACGACTGCATGATGTCGTCTCTTAGTGATGGATAGATTCCATTCTCACTTGATATTTCTGTCGAGAATCCATCAGTCTTTTGGTAGCAAGGTTGAGTATTGATGTTGCAAGTGACCTCGTCCGTGGTCAGCAGTGCGAACAAAGTGTGAATTATGAACCCAGTTTGGGGTTACTTTCAAGGCCAGGTAACTTATGTAGGAGAGTCACCCTTCGGATGTCCACGGTCAACAAATGGCTCGAGAAGTCTCGTTTGCTGACAGACGTGAATTCCAGCGTAATGATCTATTACGATGTCAATAATTATTCAAGGTATCTGAGATCTGGCTGGGGCCGTCTTTCATGGAGGGCCCCGTTTGTGTGCGTTGTTTATTCCCGCTAATTTGAGTGCTTCAGGTGTATGGAATGTGACGCACAACAGAAAAGTGTCTTAATATCCAGCAAGATTTCAGTCTTGGTTCTACAATGATCGTTTCGGCAGACACCGAAAAGTATGGTGAGGATTGTAGTTCAGAATCTGCATTGAGGATACGGGGCATTCATTTCTCCCATTTGTTTTAGCCTTATTAAATAAACGAGCTGCAGCGGTCAAACAATTATCGCCCTCGGGGTGCGTGTTCGAATCCCAACTTTATCCATTTCTGTGTACTGTTGGTTGTTTTGGTCGCTTGCTGAAAATAGTAGTTATTCACTAATAAGAAATGAACAAAATGACGAGCAACGGGCATTTTGTTCACTGAGTTGGTTTTTGCTTGTGGCCTCAGGTGCAATAAGATCCGTTATATTTAGGGATTTCGCTCGTTAGGTGCCGTTTTGCCGTCGTCGAATATCGTGGTCACGGAAATGGTGCATACTTTTGGACACGGAACTTGACGACGCGAACATTTGGTAAAGTTATCGCAGCTCAATAATGAAAACAAACACCATGTATACCGGATGCTTGTAACAGTAACCGTAACATATGGTGTCTGGTGAACGGGACCCCGACTAACGGAGTTGCACACTACTGTCCGCTTTTTCAGGTTACGGAAAGCTAGTTAACCATGAAGAACCGAACATTACTGAATCAGTTGCAAAGTCGGAGAACGCGGTAGTATTCACCTGTCCGGCGATGTCTTCAGGAAATGCGGCAGTTGCTTATTGAAGTCGGCAAATCACCACATTATCCTGCTGATGCTTCGGCGTACAGATACTGGAGTTGCACCCTCGTGTGGTGCTGAAGATGCCTACTTGTAGTGCCTTCCAAATTGTCATGAATTCCTCACTAATGTGTAACCGGTCGCACGCGGATCATACAACTATCGGGTCGATTTATGGTATTCATGCACCCTAGGAGATAATCCACTACTGCTAGATATCTCTAAACATTAATCGATCGAGGTGTGCAGGTCGCATGAGGCTGTTAATCGTTAAATTGTTCTAGGGAAACCATGCGTTGCCAGGTCTTGTTTGACCAAGTCTCGTCATTTGAGGTGTCCGTTGATTGCAAGTTTCACAAGGTCATCGTAATATAAACGCATGGGTAATGAAAAAATACCACTACTTTATGTTGTCTGTAGGTACAACGAGTCTAAACAAACGTTCTCCGATCAGAGACAGTTTGGGTTTTATGCTCTAGTTGTTCGAACATACGGTACTAGGCGAACAAATGCCATGTGCAATGAAATTTCGTGGAGTGTAGTGCGAATGATGCGTAATCCGAAATCGATGAACCGCCTTACAGCAGTTTCAATCTGGTTTCTTTAGCAGTGCCAATCGATCCAGTTCAGGTCCTCAAACAAACGTGCTACCACTGTGTAACTGGTCGTGTCTGTGCAAGGTATAACACAATCCTTTACCAGCTAGTTTCGGGCCTCACGAATAGCCTATGTGGTTATGTTCAAATTGTTTGGCAGTTTGGAGTCTGATGTCGAAATTCTAAAAAATTCAGATGCCTCAATGGGGTTCCAAACCTCGCCTTATCGCCGCGTACGGTTTTGTGCAGCTCACGCTGGGTATGGTTGAAAATATTCTGAACCCCAATACCTACCAAAATCAAATTGCAATGACTGTGCAGACTACTGCGTATGTTTGATCCCAGTCCACCAAGGTATTAACCTCGGTCATCCCAGAAAGTCTGACGCCCTTCAGAGCGATAAATGTATGTGAACAACTAGCATGATTCCGATCACGGCGCGGTTGTATCTACTAAATCTTCATGTTACTTCAGGTCTTTGAACTATGCCATACGCACTGTCAACCAACGGCTTTGTTTCCTTGACCTAAAAAATAGCATCCGACTCGGTTGAGAGCGAGGCCCGTATGGGTTCGCTTCTTCGCAAAGGAATACCGCAGAAATGTCTTCACATATTGAGGTCACTCTACTGGTAGCATAAGGGTCTACGGCGAGCTAAGTACATCGTGCGAAACTAACAGCGGTGTTCGCCGAGGGTGCCCTATTTCATCCCTCCTGTTCATTTTCGTCGTAGACAAAATACTGAAAACGCATTAAGTGGTCTCCAAAATGTGGGCAGTTGGAGAAAAGCAATACTACTTAAACCTACGTTGATGCTGTCGCCTGCCTGTTCAAATGTATGGAGGATGAACAAAGCGCACTTGACAGACTAACAAGTTCTATTGCTGCGTTCAATTTACCCGACTCACCTTCAATGCGCAAGGTAATATTGCGAGTTTGAGTGTCACTGAGTCCCGTTCTGAAGCTAGATTGTCAGGAATGAACTGAGGTTGACTGCTCGTTCTTGAATAGTTGCGTGACGAGCGACGTATATATATTAACACCGGCTTGTAGACAAGCATGGTGCCAACGCCACAACAATAATAACAATAACGAGGGGCAGGTGGATTGGGATACAGAACATAGTGGAAAGGTGGAGAAAGGGTTAAACACGGGAAAATGGTATGTGGCTGGGATAACATTTTTTGTTTCATCGTACACTTTTTGATACTTATTTGTGTTGTTTGTTGTTTTTTCCGGGGCACGGGGTTTCGGCAGGCAGACCGTACAG